GGCCAAGAGGATCGAGGAGCTTGAAACACGGCTTGCTGAGGCCAAGGCGGAGGTTGAGTCATCAAAAGTCATGGCGGACAAGTCCATTGCCATGTATCGGGCTGATGCCTAGGCTGCTCAGATGGAGGCAAGAGAGACACCGGATACTGCCGACACTCTAGCACATTACCGAACTTGCTAAGTGTCAGTCTCGGAGGGAGATCCTCGAGGAGATACACGCTCGAGGTTTCGACATTGCTGAAGAGATAAAAAAGTCTAAAGATCTCGAAGCTGAAGCTGAAGTCTTGGCTTCTGATGGCGATGCTGATGATGATGATGATGATGGTAGCAAGAGCGGGTCCGAAGATGGGGGGGATCCCGGTGGAGAAGAGACTGCTCTCGATGATAACCTAGAAGCTTAGCCCTTAGCTTCTTCTATGTTGCATTTATTTGTGTAAACCACCCATGTATATNATTTATGTAAACCACCCATGTATATCTATACAAATATCTTTTTCTTTTACTGCCTTGCTTCGTGAAGATTTCATTTATGCCTTGCGGATGTTTTTATGAGGATTTAGGTGATTTCATCGAATTCGGTCTTCGTAGCCTTTAATTTGAATGAGTGACTGTTTCGAACTCGAACTCAGAATATCTTAGCCCGTAGGCCTTTTATGACCGAGTGAGTGATTACTTCGAACTCAGAATATCTTAGCCCGTAGGCCTTTTATGACCGAGTGAGTGATTACTCGAACTCGAAGTAAGATAGCCCTTAGGCTTTAATTTGAGTGAGTGATTGTTTCAAACTCGAACTCAGAATATCTCAACCCGTAGGATTTTAATAATTGAGCGAGTGATTGTTTCTAACTCGAAGTAAGATAGCCCTTAGGCTTTTGATAATTGAGCGAGTGATTGTTTCTAACTCGAAGTAAGATAGCCCTTAGGCTTTTGATAATTGAGCGAGTGGTTGTTTCGAACTCGAACTCAGAATATCTTAGCCCGTAGGCTTTTTATGACCTAGTGAGTGATTGCTCGAACTCGAAGTAAGATAGCCCTTAGGCTTTAATTTGAGTGAGTGATTGTTTCGAACTCGAACTCAGAATATCTCAGCTCGTAGGCTTTTAATAATTGAGCGAGTGATTGTTTCAAATACTAAGTAAGATAGCCCTTAGGCTTTTGATAATTGAGCGAGTGGTTGTTTCAAACTCGAACTCAGAATATCTTAGCCCATAGGCTTTTTATGACCGAGTAAGTGATTGCTCGAACTCGAAGTAAGATAGCCCTTAGGATTTAATTTGAGTGAGTGATTGTTTCGAACTCGAACTCAGAATATCTAAGCCCGTAGGCCTTTTATGACCGCTATCAAAAATCCCTTTGATGGTGGTTGGCCTTTAAGCCCGTTTGAATCATGAAGCAGAAAAATCTTTTCAAAGTGTGAGATATCTGAAAAAGAAGTTCTCCTTTATAAGTCATTACACATGTGTTTGTATCTTGTGCCAGAGTCCGAGCGAAACTACGCAGGCATGGTTTGTTTTGACCATTTGGCCCTTACATTTTTCTCTATCGAGCCTCTGTTTGTCATGAATTTGATATGGAATAACTTTCTTGTGCCGAACTTTGATTTATTCGCTGGGTAGCCCCCCAGTATTCGAGGTTGATTATGAAGGAGCCTCAGATATAATTGATTTGTCCCCGGGTAGCACAGAGCTGTTGTCTCGTTAAAAACCTCATCGGAAAAACCCATTCGGGATAAAAGCCGAACTTAAGGAAAAAAGAGTACAACGCATGCTTTGAAACCAGAGGTCTTAATGTTTTTCGTCGAATTCTTGCAATGAGTTTGTGTCGAATGTACGTATATAGACGATAGAGGAGAAAATCATACCTTAACAGTAATATCATTTGAGAAGCAATATGTTCCAATTAATCAGTAACAGTTTTCCATCCGTTGCTCCAAGTTTATAAGACCCTTTCCCGACTATATTGAGGACTTGATAGGGTCCTTCCCAATTTGGGCCGAGCTTCCCTTCATTAGGATCTCGAGTGTTAACAGTGACCTTCCTTAGGACCAAGTCCCCGGCCTTAAAATGGCGTAGGTTGGTTCTTCTGTTGTAGTACCTTTCAATTTGTTATTTTTGTGCAGCCATTTGAACTAGTGCCGCCTCTAATTTTTCATCTAATAGTTCGAGGCTAGTATTCATTTCCTCGTAGTTTGATTCTTTCGATGTATGTCGGAACCTTGTGCTTGGTTCCCCGACTTCGACCGGAATTAGGGCTTCAGATCCATATACTAGGGAAAATGGGGTTGCTCCTATACTGGATTTAGATGTTGTCCGATATGCCCAAAGGACTTCGGGATTTTATGGTCGTCGAGGAATTTCGTCACTCTGCCACCGATAAACTGTCTACCATTGTGCATGTTATTTCTGCTGGTATCCCAAATCGACACACGATGTGGTCCCAGATGAAATCTATAACCTCTTTTTCCCTCACTTTTTCGAACGCCTGTTCTTCAACCTATTTAGAGAAATAGTCAGTCATAAACAGAATAAATTTAGCTTTACCTGGGGCCGATGGTAGAGGGCCGACGATATCCATTCCCCATTTCATGAATGGCCATGGAGAAATGACTGAATGAAGCTGCTCTCCGGGTTGGTGGATCATCGGTGCAAACCTTTGACATTTATCACATTTTCAAACGAACTCCTTAGTGTCTTTTTCCATGCTATCCCAGTATTACCCTGCTCTGATGATTTTGCGAATTAATGGTTCGGCGCCAGAGTGGTTTCCACAAGTGCCTTCATGAACCTCTCGTAAAACATAATCGGTGTCTCCTAGTCCCAAACATACCGCCAGTGGTCCATCAAACATCCTTCTGTATAATGTTCCATCTTCAACCAGTGTGAATCGAGCAGCCTTGGTTCATAGAACCCTCGATTCTTTAGGGTTCGATGGGAGTTTTCCGTTCTTTAAATATTTAATATACTTATTCCTCCAATCCCAGGTTAAGCTCGTGGAATTTATTTCGACATGTCCATCCTCGATTATAGATCTCGAGAGTTGAATGACAGTCCCCGAGTCGATCTTATCTTCCTCGACCGATGACCCCAAATTTGCGAGTGCGTCGGCCTCACAGTTTTGTTCTCGAGGCACATGTTGTAGGGTCCATTCTTTGAAACGGTGTAGAGTTACCTGTAATTTGTCCAAATACCTTTGCATCCTATCTTCTCGAACCTCAAAAGTTTTGTTTATTTGGTTCACCACTAGTAAAGAGTTATATTTGGCTTCAATGACTTCTGCTCCCAGGCTTTTAGCTAGCTCGAGACCTGCAATCATGGCCTCGTACTCGGCCTCATTGTTAGTTAATCTAGTGGTTTTGATGGATTGTCTAATAATGCCACCTGTGGGAGGTTTCAGTACGACGCCAAGCCCGGACCCCTTCACATTTGAAGCACCATCTGTGTAGAGGGTCCAAACCCCCGACGACATACCCGATTTTAACAAGAGTTCCTTTTTAACTTCGGGTACGAGGGTTGCCGTGAAATCGGCCACGAAGTCCGCTAAAATTTGGGACTTGATGGTCGTACAAGGTTGATATTCGATATCGTACCCACTGAGTTCGACGGCCCATTTGGCCAATCGAGCTGATAGTTCGGGCTTGTGCAAAATATTGCGAAGTGGGTACGTGGTCAAAACGCATATGTGGTGACATTTGAAGTATGGTCTTAACTTTCTAGAGGCGTTTATTAGTGCAAGTGCTAATTTCTCTAAGTGAGGGTATCTAGCCTCTGCTTCCCCTAAGGTCCGACTTACATAATAAACAGGAAACTGTGTACCTTGCTCTTCTCGAAGTAGGACGCCACTTAGCGCGATTTCCGATACCGCCAAGTATAAGTACAACTTCTCATCTCTCTCGGAGTGTGAAGTAGTGGTGGGCTCGATAGGTACCGCTTCAATTGTTCTATTGCCTGTTGGCATTCCGGGGTCTAGGCGAAATCGTTCTTTCTTTTGAGTAGGGAGAAGAATTTGTGGCTTCGATCTGATGACCTCGAAATGAATTGGCCTAAGGCAGCTATGCGCCCAGTCATCCTTTGCACTGCTTTCACGCTATCCACGATGGTGATGTCTTCGATGGCCTTAATTTTGTCGGGGTTGATCTCGATTCCCCAATTCGATACCATGAAACTAAGGAACTTGCCCGATCCAACCCCAAAAGCACATTTCTCGGGGTTGAGCTTCATGTTGTATTTCCTTAAGATCTTGAATGTTTCCTACAAATGAGTCAAATGGTCCTCTGCGCGCAGGGACTTAACTAGCATGTCATCAATGTAAACTTCCATCGACTTACTTATTTGTTCTTCAAATATTTTATTCACTAGGCGTTGGTAAGTAGCTCCTGCGTTTTTTAGCCCGAATGGCATTACATTATAGCAATAGGTTCCGTACTTGGTGATAAATGAAATCTTTTCCTGGTCCTCCAGGTTCATTCGAATTTGATTGTACCTGGAGTAGGCGTCGAGAAAATTAAGGATCTCGTGGCCGGCTGTGGCATCGATCATGCGATCAATGCTAGACAGTGGAAAAGAATCTTTGGGGCATGCTTTGTTTAGATCTTTATAATCTATGCACATTCTAAGTTTGTTCCCCTTTTTAGGGACTACAACTACGTTAGCTAACCACTCGGGATATTTTACCTCCCGAATTGATCCTATTTTGAGAAGTTTAGTTACCTCATCCTTTACAAATGCGTGATTTACCTCGGATTGAGGTCTTCTTTTTTGCTTCACCAGTTTGAACCTGGGGTCCAAGCTCAGCTGGTGCGTTGTTATCGACGGTGGGATCCCTTCCATGTCTAAATGGGACCAAGCAAAACAGTCTATGTTATCAATAAAAAATTGAATGAGTTTTTCCCTATGTTCGGGGGTCAATCCCGTTCCCAGGTATACCTTTTTCTCGGGCAGATATTTGATTAATATAACCTGCTTCAGTTCTTCGATCGTAGATTTGGTGGTGTCGGAGTCGTCGGGGGCGACGAAAGCTCGAGGTGTCAGAAACCTTTTCTCGTCATCCTCTATTTTCTATTCCACATGTTTGGTCTATGGTAGCTGTGATTGTTATTTGGTTTCTTGTCTATCTTTAGTGTTCGATCTTTTCGAGACCGATAGCATTGGCATCGGTGTTACCTCATCGACCGCAAACATTTCCTTCGCAGCATGTTGCTCCCTGTATATTGTTTTCACGCCGTCCGACGTAGGAAATTTCATTACTTGGTGGAGGGTCGAAGGCACTGCCTTCATATTGTGGATCCAAGGTTTTTCGAGTAGGGCGTTGTACCTCATATCCCCTTTGATTACGTGGAATTCGGTATTTTGGATGGTTCCAGCTACATTCACTGGTAGAGTAATCTCCCCTTTAGTCGTTTCACTGGCCATATTGGAACCGTTCAGGACCCGAGCTGCGGGCACGACTTGATTCTGCAAGCCGAGCTGCTCCACTACCCAAGATCGGATGATATTCACAGAGCTACCTGGATCCACTAAAACACGCTTAACTTGAGCTTTATTTAATAGGATAGAAATTACCACAGCGTCGTTGTGAGGTTGAGAGATGCCTTCGGCTTCTTCAATTCCGAATGATAAAGTGCCCTCGGGTACGTAACCTCGAGTTCGTTTTTCCCCTGTGGTCGGTATATTGCCGTACTTGAGCATGTGTCCCTGCGGAGTATCGACCCCACCGATGATCATATGAATGATATGCAGAGGTTCCTCTTGGTTATCCTTTTTGCTGGCGTCCCTTTCTCTGAAGTGATTCCTGGCTCGGTCGCCGAGGAATTCTCGAAGTTGTCCCTCATCGAATAGGCGGGCTACCTCTTCTCTTAATTGTCTACAACCCTTGATCCTGTGACCATGCGTGCCATGATACTTGCACATTGAATTCGGGTTTCTTTGGGAATGGTCTGTTTGCGTGGGTCTGGGCCACCTAGTATCTTTGATTCTTCCGATCGCCGATACAATGCCCGATGCGTCGACGCTGAAATTGTACTCCGATAGTCGAGGTGCCTCTATAGGATCTCCATATTTATCGAAGCCACTCTTGCTCATAAGCCCCCGAGAATTTTATCCTCGATCACTCCTTCGATTGTTCCGAGCGTAATTGCGCGTTGAGCCATTGTTCATTCGATCTGTCCGGAAGGAGCTCCCAACTAGTCGTCTTCGACCCTGATTTTTGACTGATATAGGTTGTGTACATCCGCCTAAGTCATTGCTGGATACTCGATTAAATTTTGTTTCAGCCGACGCGATGCTATTGAACTTTGCTCGTTCAACCCTTGGGTGAAAGCTTGGACGGCCCAGTCATCTGTAACCGGTGGCAATTCCATGCGTTCCATTTGAAATCGGGACACAAACTCCCTTAGCATTTCATTATCGCGTTGCTTTACTTTAAAGAGGTCCGACTTCCTTGTTGCAACCTTTATGGTACCAACATGTGCTTTTACAAACGAATCCGCTAACATGGCAAAAGAATCGATGGAATTTGGGGCAAATTATGATACCAAATCATCGCTCCCTTAGAGAGGGTCTCTCCGAATTTCTTCAATAACACGGATTCGATCTCGTCGTCTTCCAAATCGTTACCCTTGATGGCACATGTGTAAAAGGTGATGTGTTCGTTGGGATCGGTCGTACCGTTATATTTGGGAATTTAGGGCGTACGGAATTTTTTGGGGATTGGTTTTGGAGCTGCACTCGAGGGAAAAGACTTTTGGATGAATTTCTTCGAATCCAGTCCTTTTATCATTGGTGGAGCTCCCGGGATCTGATCGACCTTGGAATTATATGTTTCTACTTTTTTATCGTTGGCTTTGACTCGTTTTGTGAGTTCCTCGAGTAATTTGGTAATTTCGGGAGTAGTCCCCGATTCTTGCTCGTTTGACTTCACTATGGCTGGCTCCGTTCCGTAGGTGATTTCCTGAAGCGGATCGGGCTCCGACCTGCTTTGTACCTGAGTTTGGCTTTGCAAGTGAGCTATCGCTATTTGCTGGGCTTGTAACATCTCGAAGATCATCCGTAAGCTAACTCCGATCTCCTCCACGTTATGAGCGTCTCGAGCTACGGATCGAGTACCACCCTGAATGCTTTTTTCCGGATCGGAACGTTGGTTCGCCTCTAGAGCCACTTGTGAATTTACATCTAGTGGTGCTTCGACTCGAGCTTCAGTGACGTCGTTAAGTGGCCTTCCTGCCCTGAGTATCAAGTTGTTGGTTTCATCCTGAAGGCCGGCTTCGTGGTCGATAGGTAAAACCATGAATCGAGGGTTTGCCATTGCTGATTAGGAATTGTAAACTGGTGCGTATTGCGGATTTGTATCAAACAATCACTGTTATCCTTAGTCCCACGGTGGGCACCAAACTGTTTACCCAGAAAATCGGATATAGTTGAATTTACAAGTAGTTCTAAGGATTTGTGATATAGCCTGACGTAAATCGTACGTAGAAGTGGAAGTGTTAGGATTTTTGGCTATGAAAATGAGATATAAATTATTGAATTAGAAGAGTGAGTATGTTGAGTCAAACAAGCTTAAGAGATTTTCTTCAATAAATAGAAGTAGTCTTTTCTTACCATCATCTCCACCTGTGTTTACAAGGATTCCCCCCTTTATAGTAGATGGATCTTACTATTATTTACAATAAAAAATATATAGTGGAGAACCCATGATGAATTATCCCTTTCTCGATTCCTTCCAAGATTCTCTCCCCTAGTGCGGTTGCAACGGCTCCTGTCTGCGAGCTCGATACTGGCCCGAGTTCGATACTGGCTCGAGATCGGTATTGGGTCGAGCCCTCGGCCTTGAGTTCGAGTTCGACATTCAGGGTGAGTGTCAATCGGCATGTGCATTTCCGACAATCTTCTCTTTGCCTTGCGGTTCGATTTGGTCATGGACTTGATAATGATACTGAGCCGATTCCTCGATTGGTCTTGGAGCTCGAGGCTTGTATGCACTATACTCGGAACTCGTTTCGAGCTCTCACTTCGATCGCTTATCATTCAAACTCGATCAAACGTACGGAGGCCGAAATCTATTTCGACCATATACATTGGGTTCAAATGACAATCAACAAAATATAACAAAGCTCGGTGCATGCGACTCATGTTAATTCCTCGAATATGTGACAGTTGATCATTTGACACAGGACGTCAACCACCTCATTAATATTGAAATTATTAATTGCAAATTGAGTAACATGTCATTAACCTTTTCAAGCACATATGAAGATCGTTAATCACATATGGAGGGAGATGAAAAACTTTACCTCTAACCTAAGTTGAATCATTTTGAGGGTCCATGTTTTCATAAAATTCCCATATTAATGTACACACAAAGTGTTGACAACTATTTAGCTTTATTTAGGTGCTATTAATAATGGCATAATGGTTTATCTTAAATTATCTAAGGAGTTTGATTGTTAACTTAGAAGCATTTAATCAGTCTTGAAATCCTATTATGTTTTGATTTCTAATGCAAAGACAACAGCTACCGAAGTTATACATTGAATAATTTACTTCCTCTGTTCGCTTTTACTTGTCCACAATTGACTTTGCACACCCTTTAAAAAATAATAAATAAAGTGCATAATTTACCATGATACCCTTATTAATTGTTGTATAGTCTTAATGGATTTGGAAAATAATTTGGAATGAGTAATTAATGCCAAGGGCAAAACAGAAAAAATAAATTATTTTTCTCGTGATATGCGAAAGTGGACAAGTAAAAGTGAATGCATGGAGTAATATATTACTATCTTCGGTAGATTGTGAAATCCAATGGCCAGCGGCTTCGCTTTTCCAGCTGGTTTCTTTGTCTCAACTCTCACATACCTTAGTCCTAAGATATTACTCGTAATAATAACAAACTCGACAGCAGAAAAAGAAATTAGAGATCCTCGTATAACTCTGTCTATTTCTTTCTTCGATTAGGAGCTCATAGGTCTGAAGGATTGATTTCCAACTTGACAAAAAATTTGGGTGTATTATATGGGAATCCGCCATTGATGCTTGTATAAGGGTAAGCTGCCTACATCAGACACCCTTGGGATGCGGTACTTCCTCGGACCCTACTTAAACATAGGATGTTTTGTGCACCGAAATGTCCTTTTTATATGCACACATCATTTTGTGATTTTACGGAGGAAATTATAGCATCCATCTACCAATGTGTAATGTGTGGCCTGGTGATGGATCAACATTACATCGAGGAAACAGCAAATTTTTGAGAAAGCTCATTGACCAGAAGCAAATAGATAAATATATTTAATGGAGAACAAAAAAGAAACACGAGTAGTACAATGATCTGATTCAAAAAATGTACAATCAGACGGCACCCTTTAGGAAAAGACTTTGCAGTTTGCAAGCACATTCCAGGAGATCAGTTACAAATTTTGACCACAATGGGACACCCAATAATTTCAAGAAAGCAAAAGCTCAAATAAATTACATTTCCATGGTTCACCGAGAAAAAAATAAATCTGTACAAGCACGAGTGGTCGGTATGTAAAAGCATCATAATCCAACTAAAATGTGCAATGCTGATAACCCAGCATTTCATCTGGACTGGAATCATCTTCCCTAAGGCTGGATATCAGCTAATGAAACCAGCAAATCCCTAAGCACATCAAAGCCAACATTGATTCCATTTTAAGAGGTAACAGTCTTTCATCTGCAAACAGAAAGCTCAATATTTATGCATGTATAACTCATTCCGAAAACAAGGAAGCAAACTGAACTTCCCCACCATCTCACACTTGATAAGGCGATAATACAGTTATTGATCAGATTCCTTTGCCAGTTGCTGCACAGTTCATCCTCTCAGTCAATATTAAGTTTCCTTTAGTAAACACCTCTAAATAAGTAAAATGAAGTGGGGTAACAGACCTTAAAACATGCACCACCGGAAAGACACGCTTGAAATTGCAACATTTGATCCGTCTTTATGCTTCACTGACATGTCTGTAAATGGTGATAGATTTACTTCGATCTTCTTCATTGAAGGATTTCAACCTTTCTTTTTCAACCTTGATAACACAAGAAAATCTATCAGAAACCTCATAAAAAGGCTCCTCCTCAAGGAACATAGTGAGTCCCGAAGTTGATACCTGCGCCTCTAACTCTGCTATTCTCTGTAAAGATAATTGTTCAACACATGCACGTCGTTTCCGTTCTTCTTCAAGCAACCCAGTCATCTGATATCGTAGCTCAGCCATTTCTTGGGCTAAATCCTCTGCTTCTTCTTTGGCTTTTAGCTTTTCCATTCTTAGCTCTTCCTACACATCCAAATTAATGGACCAATAGCATTAGATCATGTTGGGACTTGGATGTGAATGTTTTCATGAATGTTAAGTAGTTAACCACAAATAGTACCTTAAGCTGCTTTACAAGTGACTCATAGTTCTTTACTTGACCGGCCAATTTCTCCATCTTGTCCAACAAGTCAACATCCGATGGCCCTATAGAAGCCAGTTTGATAAGGAGTGGACCCAAAATGTCACCACAGCAGCTTCAGCGAAAGGACATAGTGTCAGACACGACGTAAACATAGTAGCAAAGATGAGAATAGCTTTACTATAATTACAGATCCTTGTACGAGCATGGTCAACTACAAGACAATATGCAATCACTATCTCCAGCGAACTACAAAATGCATGCAACAAATGTGAAAACATTAATGACAATTTGCTTTATTAGATGAAGTAAATTAAGACTTTGGACTGGAATCAGTACGGCTCTTTCACATCATAACAACTTGTCTCAAGTATCTCATTGTAAGATCCTAAATTACTTAACGTAATCAAGCACCATCTTAAGCTAACCAGCTTATGGTAGACTAAGAGAAGCATATACACTCGGTGCATACCTAGTAGCATTTTCCTCTTCTTTACTTGAGGAGCTCTCATCAACATTCGCTAGCCAACCACGAAATTGCTCCTCTACTTTTTTAGAAAATGTTTTGGCATTCAATTCAGATGCCTGGAGTTGTTCCCTTAAACTTTCATTTTCCTTCCCTAGACTTTCAACAGCCTTCTCTGTGTCATCCATCCGAAGTTCGAGGTCATGAATAAACTCATTCAACTTAACATTCTCTTGAGTTGTTTCTTCTTGGGATTTCTTAGCTTCAAAATAATTCTGCTCCACAGCCATCAAATCAAGCTTCATACCCTCTATTTCAAATTGATGCTCTAATCCTACAGATGCTATTGACTCCTCTAGTCTCTCTATGCACAAAGCTGAGCCCTCTATCTCTAACTCTTTGTTTTCCAATTGCTGCAACAAATATAAGCGTTCAGCATTTGAAATTTCCAATTCTTCCCTTAACCTTGCAACCTCTTCGTATATATTTTCAAGGTTTGCAAGTTTCAACTGAAGGCTGCACACACACTCACTTAGAGAATTCATCTCTTCATTTCTTAAATGCACCTGATCCTGCAGGTAATCTGCAACAAATATATTTAAACAGTGAGCCTAAAATGGGCAAATCAAGTCAATATGATAAAGTAGACAAGATATTTTGCTCTTGAAGGGGAATGATGCGAAGTGACAAGCTTCATAAATATAAAGCGTATGACCTATTGAAAATACTAGCCAACAGTTGACCCAATAAAGGGGGTGTTCGGGCAGTTCGGATTGGATATGAGAATTTCAGTTTGGATTTTCAATTTTCGGATTGATGAAATGACTATCCAAATAAATTTAGATTGGATCGGATTTTTTAAGTTCGGTTTCGGATTAATCGATTTGAATATTATGAATTTTCGATTTTGAGCGTATAAGTTGAGATGTTTCTACTTTTTACAAAAATGAATATCCAAATGAAGTACTCATGTTAAATTGCCTAAAAAGTTCATCTTTCTTACCGCAATCATCCAAATAAAGTATTCAAGTAATGAAAATTATTTAAAGAAAAAATACAACAGAGACATTAATACGGCCGACAAGAAGTATCAATAGTAAAATCATGTCCAAATAGAAAGTATTCTGCAATAACTTAGTAATTAATATTAAATGTATGAGATAATATCTAATGGGTAGGGTATTGAACTTATTGCTATTGACATATGGATAATGGACTAAATATAAAGTAAAAAAATTTTTAATTTTCGGATATCCAAAAATCCGAAGTACCAAATCCAAAATCCAATCCGAAATCCAAAAATTTTAAAAGTTAAATCCAAAATCCAATTCGTAATCCGAAAATCCAAACCACCACAACAACAACAACAACAACAAACCCAATAGTTTCCCACAAGTGGGGTCTGGAGAGCGTAAGATGTACGCAGCCTTACCCCTACCCCTGGAAGGGCAGAGAAGATGTTTCCGATAGACCCTCGATTAGAGAACGACTGAAAAAGAAAAGGTAATTGCAACAAGTAGGAATAACAACAAGAAAAAATAAGATTGAATCCAAGAATGCAGTCAAACTCTAGGTAGTAATAGCCATCTATGGATAAAAGATATCATACTAACACTAATGCTAGCGAACTGAGTAAGACAGAGAGAAACGCTCCACTACCTACGAACCTTCTACCCTAATCTTTGACCTCCACAACCTCTTGTCTAGGGCCATGTTCTCAGTCAGCTCCAGCTGCGTCATGTCCCGCCTAATAACCTCTCCCCAAGACTTCTTAGGCCTACCTCTACCCCTCCTGCTACCCACCGAGGCTAACCGGTCGCACTTTCTAACTGGGGCTTCTATACTTCTCTTAACATGCCTGAACCATCTCAACCTCGCCTCCCACATCTTATCCTCCACAGGGGCCACTCCTACCTTTTCCCGAATAACTTCATTCCTAATCTTATCCAACCGGGTATGCCCACACATCCACCTCAACATCCTCATCTCAATTCTCAGCTACTTTTAGCTTTTGGGTATGAGAGTTCTTGACCGGCCAACACTCTGCTCCATACAACATAGTCGGTCTAACTACAACCTTGTAGAACTTACCTTTAAGTCTCAGCGGCACATTCTTATCACACAAGACACCGGAAACGAGCCTCCACTTCATCCATCCTACTCCGATACGATGCGTGACATCTTCATCAATCTCCCCATTACCTTGTATTATAGATCCAAGATACTTGAAACTACCTCTATTGGGGATGACTTGCGTATCAAGCCTCACTTCCATATCCCCTTCCTAGGTACCATTACTGAACTTGCACTCCAAGTATTCCGTCTTGGTCCTGCTCAACTTGAAACCCTTAGACTCTAGGGTCTGCCTCCAAACCTCCAGCCTCTCGTTAACACCACCCCGCGTCTCGTCAATTAAAACTATGTCATCAGCAAATAACATACACCATGGCACCTCACCTTGAATGTGTCTCGTCAATGCGTCCATCGCCAATGCGTCCATCGCCAAGGAAAATAGGAATGGACTAAGAGTTGATCCCTAGTGCAACCCCATCATAACCGGAAAGTATTCCGAATCTCCTCCCACTGCCCTAACCTGAGTATTAGCTTCATCATACATATCCTTAATCACCCTAATGTAGGCTACTGGAACCCCTTTAGCCTCCAAGCATCGCCAGAGCACCTCTCTCGAGACTTTGTCATATGCTTTCTCTAGGTCAATGAACACCATGTGCAAGTCATTCTCCATCTCTCTATACCGCTCCACTAATTTTCTCACAATGTGAATGGCTTCCATAGTCGAACGCCCTGGTATGAAACCGAATTGGTTCTCAGAAATGGACACGCTGGTACTCACCCTCACTTCAACCACCCTCTTCCAAACCACAAATCCAAAAAAATCAGATTTCGGATTTGCCGAAACTATGCCCACCCCAATGTGCAAGCCCGCAAAATATAGGCAAAATACATAAATTACCCCCTAAACTATGGACCAAATTCCTGTTACACACTTTCTGACCCCGAAAATCATCTTACACACTCAACCTTTCCAAAGTGTACCTAAGACCCACCAATTTTTTCTTGACTAATTCTTCAAAATATGTGTACTATCACGCACCAATAAGGTCGNAAAAAAAAAAAAAGGTCCATCCAAATCACCATCTTCAATACATCGCCAACATTAACCATCATAAGAAAATGACCTCGTCATCGACAAACAAAGGCCAGTAACGACCCTCCTTGACTGGATTTTTTTTAATTCAAGTTGATCTTCTGGGTTTTGGTGTACCGAATTCATCTCTAAGCTTCCTTATTTTGCCATTTTTGTATATTTTAAACTGGGTGTTTGCTCATATGTTACTGAGAGGCCAGGAATGGAGAAGTCTAATTGTTACCATTGTTTTTTGGAATTGGGTTTCCAGTTGTTTGCTCGTATGCCAACTGAAAGACCATGAATTGGAAAGTTTTATTTTTAGCTTTTCCAGAGATACCCATGAATGGGTAGTGTATTTGTAGTATTTTTCTGAAGGGGGTGTTCAAGTATTTGTATATATTACAGAGAGGCCATGGACTAACATTAATAAAATTTACTTGGACTGAAATTATAGAAATTAACATAACTTCATTGGACATTTACTTCTAATAGTGTAGGATTACTGGATCTTTTATAAGTATTCTCTTGTTGGAGTAATTCAGTGAAATGAGACAATGGAGTTAGATGGAAGAGAACATAAAGGGTTTTTGCTGGTCATGGAGGTATTGGAGGGGAAAACAAAAGAAAAGAAAAAGAAAAAAAAATAACTTTGGACCATAGAATCAACTTTATTAAATCTGAACCATTGACATAAAGCTGTAGACACACATTTTTCACATCTTCACGCGCTCCTTTTGCGTGTAATATACATGGTCAAAAGTGGTGTGTATTAGACACACTCAGGAAAGGTTGAGTGTGTAAGATGATTTTCGTGGTAGAAACTAGAAAGTGTGTAACAGAGATTTGGCTCATAGTTCATGGGGTAACTTCTGTATTTTGCCCAAAATATATAAACCAAAGAAAAGACCATACAAGTCCCATACAAAGATGATATTCCACCAAAGAAAAGGTTAAACGTAGACATGGAGAATCAACAGTCAACTGTCATTTGAGTCCCATCAGTAGCACAAACTTCACTCTTTTTCTTCTATTAATCTTTTTATGGACTGGGGTTCCAGGCACCAGGAGTCTGGGGGGAGTATATTTCGGGTAAGAAAGTAAGGAATGTTTACCAAGGAAAACAACAAATAAGACATATATAATGTAGCAAACATATTTTGGAATGTATACCTATCTCTTGGGAACAGTTCTCCAACTCGCTTTCCAGCTTCTGGATGTGATTTTTGTCTTCTGCTCGGGCCTCAGATAATGTCTGCACATGTTGTTCTAGTCTCTGCAAACATTTTTTTCTTTAATAAGTCAAATTTTCACCTTAGTCTCCAAGAATTCTAACTTAAATAATGGAATGTTCATGATACACAATATAAGTCGGCTATACAATCATACTGGTTATTTTCAAACTCAACTATTCAAAATAACTGTGGTGACCAATTGTGCTAAACATGCATATTATATCTTTCTAAGCTAATAAAGGGTAGCCCGGTGCACTAAGCTCCCGTTATGCGCGGGCTCTGGGGAAGGGCCGGACCACAAGGGTATTCTTTCTAAGTTAATAATTCTCATAATTTAATAGTTGTTTCGATAGCCTACTCTATTCCATCTCCTCGAACCAGTATAAGCTAAGACTACGATTGCCACTTGCCATGCAGTAAAACCTCTGGAAAAGTTTGCCATCCTCTTTACATTAGTTTTTGGATATAGAATCAACCTAAGACATTATATACCATAGATAAAGATTACTGGAATCTTTATGAACAATTGTAACATATCTGGTCACTCCGGAACATATAAAACTTTATGGTTAGCAAGTGTAATAGCTAAAAATGTACCAGCTCCTCATGCTATTGATCACTAGAAAGTTGATTGTACATAGATAAAGGGCAACTACTGGAGCATTACATGAAACTAAAAGCAGTGAATTGACGTGGGTAACGGTAAACATTGAAATGCAAGTCCCCTTTTTTGTCTTTCGCTGGCCAAAAGGAAACAAGACACATGTTTGCAAATCATATCCAGATTTATTGGGTAGCAAATCTAATAGTTAAATGAAGAGAAAAAAAACAAAGGATCCAGATTGACTATGGAGGTCGATACAAATGATACTTTACACAAAAAGGAAAAAGTTAATGGCACAGCCTATTCAGCATTTTTTTTTTTGATAACCAAAAGTAAGCATTTCCGCTTATCCAGCATATTTACACATCCAAAAGACCTTTTATGTATGCTTCTACATTTGTATGCTCCAAGATCAATTACAAAGATCATAATTTGTGCTCCTCTGATTTTTAGAGCTGTGTCACCACTATTGTCAGACTGTACTCTAAAGTAACATTAATTTTTACTAACAAGAATGCAGAACATCACCAGCTTTAGAAAGCATGCAAATTCACAGCCAAATAACACAATGGCTATCCCTTTAGTAAAGGCAATTTTTGCCGTCAAACAACTTTATTTGTCTAACGCATCCGGAGATGCCTTGATAATGGCCAATGATCAGATCAAAAGATTCACGAATAAAGATAAAGATATCAGAAATTACTCGGATCAGTTCAAAGCTCTGGCCTTGTGAACCCCTCAGCATATCTTTTTCTTTCCTAAGCTGCCAAAAAGAGAAGTTAACAAAAGAAAATAAAGAAAGGTAACTAGCAAGAAAACTACCACATATCCATTCTTTATCAGGAAAGATAATTTGTACAGCAGCTATGAGCATAGGAGCAGGGAAAACTACAATTAGAGAACAGATTCCGAAATTGACCACCAACTTGGTGTTTATTACTAAATTTTCTGACGTATCAAAAACTGGGTTCCAAAAGTTATTGAATCAAGCAAAGTAAATAGCAGATTAAATAAAAGATTGCACACAGAATCTCTAGCTTAAAATTGTTCGTCAATTGATTCTGGTATTAAATTCCGCATTGTAAGTCAGATGTTTGGTTTTCATTTCAGTTTCCATGTTAATAATACATGCATTAGTTACACGGTAATTCCTGTATAATACTATGCTACGAATTCATGGTAGACTAACACTACAGGTAGTACTAATGCCTACATAAGAGCATGCAAACAACAAGAATGTCCCTTTATTACAAGTTTACTTAAGCCCAGTGTTATCAAAGGCGAAAGCGCAAAAAGCTCTAAGGTCTGTTGGGGCTTTAAGTGCAAAACACAAATAAAGCATGAGCTTTAATGAACAAAGGCGCAAATGGAGAAAAAATAAAAATATGTATGTATAGTCCAAGTCTAATAATTATAAGTGGGAATAACAAATATATGGACAAAGAAATCGCAAGAGAATTATGATAAAGTAAAATATCAATTGTTTAGTGTCGCCTCTTCAGGATTACGCTCATTGGCAAGGAAAAATATGCCTTAGAGCCTCGATGATGCCACTGAAGCGCCGGCTAAGCGAGGCAAAGCGCTCAACATGTTTTGAGCCTCGCTTCAGGGCTTAAGCGCGTCTTTGACAACACTGGTTAAGCCACCTCTCACTTGTTATTATCTGTAAATATGTGATAATGTTTATAGCATTGATTTAGTCATAATAGTTGGCAGCTCCAAAATAAAAAAAGGCTCATAAGAAAGTGTTTATTCTCATATCTTTGTATATCTTACTCTAGATTGTATATGAAAAATTGTTCATACTTGAGATATCTAAAAATTAATAATTATAATTCAATTTTGGTATTTAGTTATAGTAAATTAATAATTTTTGGTCGCATATGATAACAGAACTAAATATAAGTTGGATAAGGTAATGTGAACAACCCAAGAGTATTATTGGTATCCAATTAAAAACCAAACCATGTTCTAAATTATACACTATGTATCCAGATTCTAAAGCGATTAACCAAACATCCAGTAACAAATGCAAATACTTTGGTGATTGTTATTCACCATATGATGACACATGAAATATAATCTGCATTTAACTTGTTTGGCGGATCATACAACTCCTAAGTGCCATGACTGAATTCCTGAATTTAGTTTCGCATTATTTCCATGGATACCCTATAACAAATATTATGAATGATTGAAGAGCAGATTTTACCTCTTTACATCTTGCCCCAATCTCCAATAGCTCTTTTACATCAACAGAGTGGTCACTACTACTAGTTGATTGACTAGACATTCTAAAAACACGAGAGAGAGAGAGAGAGAGAGAGAGAGAGAGAGAGAGAGAGAGAGAGAGAGAGAGAGAGAGAGAGAGAGAAAATTAGCACGCTCAGAAGAAAAATAGTACATCCAACTTAATTTATCAGGACAGGATACAGGCCTCACAATCTAAAGAATAGCCATATTAAGCACCATATCACAAGTCATTCTTATACCTCACTTCTTAACTGCTTAAACCCCCATAGATCAGATATGAACAACAATCAGATCATACTAAAAGCAGAAACATAAAGATAACGATATGCACATAAAAACTAGATGATGTTAATGGAATATCCATTCGCGACACTCAATTCCTAACTAACGCCACAATACCTGAATTCTGAAAAGAATACGGATAAAAAGCACGACACCCCATTTACCCATTTCTTGATTAATAAAAGTGTTCCTTCAACATAGAGATTTAATAAATTGAATACCAGATATCGGGGTAATCCAAAATTCTTTCTGTTCTCGAAAATCACATAAACTAGTAAAATGTTTGCCAGATTATATTACAAGGTCAGACATTAACAATAAAAGAATCACAGAAAAAGTATAAAACTAAACATGACCTGCCTAAAAACTACCGAAGACTAATGGATATGCTCGTTGTGATGCTCGTTTCATAAAAAGTAACCACAACATCTGAAGGAAAAAACACACACAAAAAAAAACTATGAAAATGTTCAACGCCTCGAATATATCAGAATGGATAAGAGGAATCATATAACCTACCCGAGCTAGTTTTAAATGGAGTCATAGCTGATTGAATGAAAAAAATTCCCTGCACCCCATTTTCCTATTTTCAAATAAAAAATAATACCTACAGATTGACGAAATTGATTATAAATCTTGTTTGATAATTCAAACTTCTTTCTGCTTCTTCATAATCACAGATATATAGCAAAAATCATTTCCAGATTAAACAACAAAATAAAAAGTTGCACAAATTTTACGACATACACAGGCAAAATGAATATAATTTCTTAAGCATATACTGCTGTTTCAAATTTACATGATTAAACAAAAAGTATCAAAAACTGAAACTCAAATAGAAATAGAAAATAAAAATAAATACCGATTCCTAGGGTTGACGATATCAAAAGCCAAAAGGTCCCCAGAATATCCTGAAATTTCCAAAATTTGAGCTGGATATTAGCAAAAACGCCTGATTTATTTCATAAATTATGGAGTACTAAATTCAACGGGGAAATTTTAAAAATGCAAGAGAGTTGTGACCGGGTTTCACTTAAGGATGGGTATCGGGTCTAACCCGGTTCAGGGGCAATAAGGGGATTTTCCCTCTTAAGTGCCACTAATTGGCATTATTTTTAGACTCAATTTACGTTTTTAATCAATTCTATTTGAATGACATATAAATCATACAAATAAAAGTAAATAATAACTTTGAACAATTGTAAAGAAAGACAGCCTTAAATCATACGTATATTAATTCTAGTAAATTTATTCTTTGAAGAATTTACTATGATATTAGATTATGTTAAGAATAATTTCTAAATTTATCTATATAGAATAGGAGAAACAAAGTCATATTATTGTGCTAAGTGTCAAAACAGAAAATAAATATATGTCCAATTTTAGAACAAACCTCCAACTAATTTGAAGGTTAAAAATAATTTAAAATAGAAATTTAAAAATATGCTAATGCAGTTTAACATCTGATTCACATGTTTGTTGTGCAGTTTTTTTTTATTTGTTAAAAGAAGTTCACAAAGTTTAAAATTTCTAGATGTTTGTTGTGCGGGTTTTTTTTATTTGTTTATAGAAGTTCACAAACTTTAAAACTTCTAATTTAGTTTACATCTACATTGAGTCCCACGTTTGTTGGTATCCATATTATTGTGCCAAGTATCAAAACAGAAAATAAACATGCGTCCAATTTTAGGATAAACTTTCAACTAATTTAGAGGTTAAAAATAATTTAAAATCGAAATTTAAATATATGCTAATGCAGTTTAATATCTGATTCACATGTTTGTTTTGCAATTTTTTTTATTTGTTAAAAGAAGTTCACAAAGTTTAAAACTTCTAGATGTTTGTTGTGCGGGTTTTTTTTATTTGTTTATAGAAGTTCACAAACTTTAAAACTTCCAATTTAGTTTACATCTACATTGAGTCCCAAGTTTGTTGGTATCCATATTATTGTGCCAAGTGTCAAAACAGAAAATAAACATGCGTCCAATTTTAGGATAAACCTCCAACTAATTTGGAGGTTAAAAATAATTTAAAATAGAAATTTAAATATATGCTAATGCAGTTTAACATCTGATTCGCATGTTTGTTTTGCAATTTTTTTTATTTGTTTAAAGAAGTTCACAAAGTTTAAAACTTCCAGATGTTTGTTATGCGGGTTTTTTAAAATTTGTTTATAGAAGTTCACAAACTTTAAAACTTCCAATTTAATTTATATCTACATTGAGTTCCACGTTTGTTGGTATCTATATAGAATAGGAGAAGCAAAGCCATATTATTGTGCCAAGTGTCAAAACAGAAAATAAACATGTCCATATTTAGGACAAACCTCCAACTAATTTGGAGGTTAAAATAGAAATTTAAAAATATGCTAATGCAGTTTAACATCTGATTCCCGTGTTTGTTGTGCAGTTTTTCTTTTTATTTGTTAAAAGAAGTTCACAAAGTTTAAAACTTTCAAATATTTGTTGTGCGGTTTTTTTTTTATTTGTTTAAAGAAATTCACAAACTTTAAAACTTCCAATTTAGTTTACATCTACATTGAGTCCCACGTTTGTTGGTATGCTTTTTTTAATTTGTTAAACCTGAAAATACAAAAAATACAAAAAAAAAAAAAAAAAAAAAAAAAAAAAAAAAAAAAAAAAAAAAAAAAAAAAAAAAACGTTGATCCACATTTGGAATTGACTCTCGCGTTTGGAATTAGTCGTTTTTAAAGTTTTATTTATATAACCTTACATACTTACAATATAGATAGATTTCACAAATAAACAGGAAGAAAGTATATATTTTTTTTAAAAACAAATCAGATCAACATCTCAAACGTGGACATCCTAACCTAACTCTACAACTTATCCACTTTCTCTATAACTACAAATAATGTTTTATGCGGCTCCTTTTAATTCCTTTTCCATTCCTTTTTTTCTTTGGTCAGAATACAGAACTTTGCAAATATGGCTACAAAACTTCATAACATCAGACAAATTTCAAGCAACTCCATGCAATGGAATTTAAAAGTTAGAGTAGTTCGAATGTGGGAAATCCTGCATTGCTTCAAGCCTGAAATACCTTATTCTATAGAGTTGGTATTACGAGATGTAAAGGTAACATATTTATAGCTGCTTTTATTTTTATTCTTCCTCTTCTATGCTACTATGGTTCATAAATTTTCCAAAATTTTCGAATAGATGAAAATTTTCATGTGAAACTATTTGCGCGGTATCCTTATTTCTCTCTACTGTCATTTCGAAACTGCGATCCGCTTGTGCCGTTAAAATAAGAACTTCTGGAAGTACATTATATACAAAAATAGGTCCATATTCTTTGTAGATATACAAATATTCTTTTCAACTCAGTTATGAATTTCTGTCATTTTGCTTTTCATTGCGCGCGCTAGATAAAAAAATCATATCTCACTATTATCATGTCGAAAACCCGATCCGCTCGTGCCCTTAAAAAAGAACTTTTGGAACTACATTATATACAAAAATTAGATCCAGCTTCTTCGTACATTTGTACAGATATACTTTTAAATTCAATTATAAATTTCAGGTATTCTGCTTTTCACAGCTTTGTGCGTCCTGACTAAAAATATTATATCTCTCTGCACACACATTGAAACCACGATCCGCTTATGCCTTTGGAAAGACGACTTCTGGAGCTACTATACTTACAATATAGATAGATTTCACAAATAAACAGGAAGAAAGTTTTTTTTCTAAAAAACAAAACCCACGATCATCTTCTCAAACGTGGGCATCCTAACCTAACTCCATAGCTTATCCACTTTCTCCATAACTACAAATAATGTTTTATGCGACTCCTTTTAATTCCTTTTCCATTCCCTTTTTTCTTTGGTCAGAATACAAAACTTTACAAATTTGGCTACAAAATTTCATGACATTAGACAAATTTCAAGGAACTCCATGCAATGGAATTTAAAAGTTAGAGTAGTTCGAATGTGGGAAATTCCGGATTGCTTCAAGCCTGAAATACCTTATTCTATAGAGTTGGTATTACGAGATGCAAAGGTAACATATTTATAATTGCTTTTATTATTATTCTTCCTCTTCTCTGCTACTATGGTTCATAAATTTTCCAAAATTTTCGAATAGATGAAAATTTTCACGTGAAACTATTTGCGCAGTACCTTTATTTCTCTCTACTGTCATTTCGAAACTGCGATCCGCTTATGCCGTTAAAATAAGAACTTCTGGAAGTACATTATATACAAAAATAGGTCCAGATTCTTTGTAGATATACAAATATTCTTTTCAACTTAGTTATGAATTTCTGTCATTTTGCTTTTCACAACTTTGCGCGAGCTGGATAAAAAAAATCATATCTCACTATTGTCATGTCGAAAACACGATCCACTTGTGCCCTTAAACAAGGACTTCTGGAACTACATTATATACAAAAATTAGATCCAGCTTCTTCGTACATTTGTACAGATATGCTTTTGAATTCAATTATAAATTTCAGGTATTCTGCTTTTCACAGCTTTGTGCATCCTGACTAAAAAAATTATCTCTCTCTACACACATATTAAAACCACGATCCGCTTATGCCTTTGGAAAGAAGACTTCAGGAGCTACTATATGTACAAAATTCAAGTCCAGATTCTTTGTAAATTTATACAGATACTCTTTTGAACTTACTTATGAATTTCTGTCACTTTGCTTTTCACACCTTTGCACGCCCCTGGCTAAAAATATTTTATCTCTCTATAGGCACATTGAAATCACGATCCGCTTGTGACTTAAGAAAGTGGACTTCTGGAACTACATTATATACAACTATTAGATCCAGATTCTTCGTATATTTGTACATATATGCTTTTGAATTTAGTTAAAATTTCAGGTATTCTGCTTTTCACAGCTTTGTGCGTCCTGACTAAAAAATAATATCTTTGTAGACACGTTGAAATCACGATCCGCTTGTGCCATTGGAAAGATAATTTCTGGAGCTACAATATATACAAAATTCAAGTCCAGATTCATTGTAAATATGTACAGATATTTTTTTGAACTTAGTTATGAATTTCTGTCATTTTATTTTTTATAGCTTTGCATGCCCCTGACTAAAAATATTTTATCTATCTATAGGCATATCGAAATCACGATCTGCTTGTGCCGTTAGAAAGAGGACTTCTGGAACTACAATATATACAAATATCAGGTTTAGATTCTTTATAAATATATACATATATTTTTTTTAACTTAGTTCTAAATTTCTATCATTTATGGTTCTATTTCTTTTCCTATTATGAGTGGTTAAGAAATTTCTGTAATTGGTCACACTATGACCTGTTGATTTTACTGTTGGTGATTTCACAATAGCATAAATAATTATATCTTTTTTTGAATTTACTACTTTTGTTGTTGAGATTGATGAGCCAACTGGAAAATAGTTGCTTAGATGATTCCCAGAAACATTTGTAGGGCCAGTTCCCATACCAGGAAGATCTGGATAGCAACAAATCTGCCATGTTGATTAAAAATACAATGCACAGATACAAATACTAGATTGGTAATGCTTAAAAGAATCTTATTTAATTATACTATATTACTATATTGCAAGTTCAAGTTACTGTGACATTTACTAATGAAGTGTTTTGGAATAATGCGACAACTATCCTTCAGAGTAATCACTCCCCGATCGCTCATGTATACACTAAGAATTTGATATATATGGAAGTGGGATTTCATGAGTTTGTTCATTTCTTTTGTTTATGTTGTTGGTGATACTGTTTTGCCAAAATATTAGATAAATATCTTAATTAGGTGAGATAGTTGCGAAAGTTTT